GTCTGAGGTCCGGGATGGTCTGAGGTCTCCTGCCTTGGGCAGGGGGTTGGACTAGAAGACCTCCAAGGTCCCTTCCAAGCCTACGACCATTCTATGATTCTATGAAAAGAAGTGGAGGGTAATCCACAAGGGTTCAAGCAGAAATAAACGTCTTAGCGTCAAACATGCAACAACACTTTTGATTTCCAGCTTTGGGAGGTGGCTGGATCCGATGGCCCTTGCCGTTCCTCCTAGCTCGTCTTCTACGATTCTGTGGTTTGATCATTGCTGCCGAGCAGCCTGAGATGAAACAAACTCAAAGAAGTGGCCCCATAGCTTAAGCTCAAGGCCTGGGGCCCCTGCAGGATGCCAGGAATGGCAGTGAAAGGGAGGAGTGGGGCGGGCCTGCCCTGTTAAGGTTGGTTCTGCTCTCTGCTTCTTCTCCTAGAATCGTAAGGATTCCCACAGGCCATCCCTGCAGGAACCCACAGCAAACACATCCCGGGCAGAAGACCCTCCAAGATCTGTTTTAAAAGCATCCACCGTAGTGTAATTCCCGGGTGAGCCTCTGCTTGTTCTCCTGCAACGGCCCATCTCTGTCTTCTTCCCCCTTCTGCAAGATTAGCAGCAAATGCAATGTCCCACGAAGGGCTAGTCGCGGCTAATGTTGCATGCTGTAATTTCACCTGCCATTTTAATCCTGACTGTTCCCCATTACGCTTTTCATTTCATTCTTTTACAGCACAGGGGAAATAATAATAATAATACATTGATTTTCCTCTCATTTCTTTTACAAACGGCTTTCCTTTCACAAATCTTCTTCCCTGTTTTTCTGCAGGAATTGAAACAAATCTCTGAATTACCTGCATTCATAAAGAGCGTTATTTCTGATTACGCCCTGCTCCCCACTGCAGTGAAAAGAACTACATTTTCACGTGATGAGACTCGGTGGCCCACCAACTCCTCTCAGCTATCAGGAAGCGCTGCCTCCTCTTTAGCTGAAATCTCCTTTCTCGTAAAATTCAACCCATCAATTCTGGTCCTACTCTCTGGAGCTGGAGAAAACAAGCCTGCTATTGTGCATTCAGTCCAGATTACTAAATGATCACACCGGATTTGCCCTGGGTTTATTGAATACGGACACCCCTCTTTGACGTCACTGCCGTGTTGTTCCTTCAAATGTGATGTATTTCGGTCAATGCATGTCTTTCATCATCTGACACAGACAAAGAAAGACTATGGGCAAATCAGCACGGAAACAGACGACGCTCACAACCTAAAGACCGAGACTGGCACTTGCCACATACAAAGCATGCCCTGCATCCCGCAGAGGGAGGCAAATCCTTGCTCCTCTCATTCTTGCAGGCCAAACAATAAAGCTGGAGGGGGTGGGAATTCTCCTTGCCGGCTTTTCACCAGTTGTGCAAGTATGCCAAATGCAAGTGCCACCATGTTGCATGGATGATGATAAAAAAAGGTAAAGGTTCCCCTTGACATTTTTAGTCCAGTCGTGTCCGACTCTAGGGGGCATTGCTCATCCCATTTTTCAAGGCGTAAAGCTAGCGCTTGTCCGAAGACAGTTTCCGTGGTCACGTGGCCAGCATGACTAAGGAACACCGTTTTACCTTCCCACTGAGGTTGTACCTAAATATCTACTCGCATTTGCATGCTTTCGAACTGCTAGGTTGGCGAGGAGCTGGGACAAAGCGACGGGAGCTCCCTCTTACGACTGCTGGTCTTCTGAGCTTGCCACACAGAGGCTTCTGCGGTTTAGCCTGCAGCGCCATCACGTCCCCTGATGGACGATGATGGAAGCCTCTTTTTCAGCTGTCAGCCCCATTCCCTCTGTGTGCCTGGCTGCCTGGCTTCACATGAAGCGGTAAAACTCTTGTTTGCATAAGTGGCATGAACAGGACCAAAATACACCACTTGGTGTCTTGTTCTCAAACTGGAGCGAAGACATTCACGGCGCTGGAGATCCATCGATAGGCAAAGCAAAGAGATACAGGTGAGACTGTCTCTCATCCCTAACCCCCAGTTTGGACCTATTAATCCTCCAGAGGATTCTGGGGACTGTAGACAAAAACATGTGTTTTTCCCCCTAAGTTACGGCTCTGGACTTGAACTACAGTTCCATCCTGCTGTTCCTCTTGAGTCAGAAAGGAACGTCGCAATTGACCCCTGTGCCCGGAAGGCTGGCGAACAGCACAGCCCTGGCTGCAAACGGCCATCATCGAGGACGTGGCTCACTCCTGAGGCAAGGGGCTTGCCCCGCGTTCTGCTTCCGGACATCATCGGGGGAATGATTCATGGCTATTATCATCACACACCAGAAGAGAAGCGTGATATGAGAAGGAACCTCAAGCAGGCAACTCAGTGGATGGAAGGACAGAACCTTTCCCAGAATTCAACAATCATGTGCTGCCCTCTGGAGGAAGCGGTGGGTTAAAATCTCGGAAGGGAGATTTCCCTGGGCCCTGCTCGGACCTTTATATCCAGCTGATCCGCTTTAGACTTTGACTCCCCGAGGCCGACACGACCGATGGTCAGGATGGTTTTTCTGGGGAATCGAACTTCCACGGCAGATGAACAAACAAATCCTGGTTTGTCTCCCCCACTTCTCGTTTATTTCCTGCCTGCCTCATTGGGTCAGCAAGGCTTTCAAGATGGGATAGCTGGGGAAACCACAGCTAGAGGTTCTGATGTCAGGGCAGACTGGGGTTACAAGGAGCAAGCATTTGTAAGCAAAAAACTAAACAAAACAAGGAAGGCTTCACATTGTGGTTTGTTGGCTTGTTAGCATGACATGAACTGCTGACAAGGTACATTGTTTAACACTTCCCATCCGTGTATGGATGACACCAGAACTACCTGAATGGGATATGACTTCACACGCGCTTACGTTAAACTACATTTCCCATTTTAACGACTACCTGCCTCATTCTGGATGGATACTTTCTTTAGAGGATCTTCACAACCCTGTCTTTAATCTAACCCTCTTAACTAATTTGGTGTCGCTGGCAAACCTGGTCAGCTCATTGCCCAACTTTAACTCTACAAAATTTACAAACACAGGAAAAAAATATGAGCTCTAACACGGATTCTTGGGGGAGGGGGGCAAGTGCACTCCACGAGAGAAGAACTGAACCTTCAGAGTGCTGTCCTCTGAAGATGCCCATGGCCACAGAGACTGGCGAAACGTTGGGAAGAACAACCTTCAGAACACGGCCAAAGAGCCCGAAAATCCCACAACAGCGAGAAGAACTGCTTAGCTGCTCCTACGTCTTTGCTCTAAATAATTACCACCCCCTAAAACACACCACCCTCCTCCATCATTCCCATCGGTTACAGAACTGCAGACCTGGAAGGGACCCCAAAGGTCATCAAGACCACCCCTGACCAGAGAAGGAAACAGCGGATGCTCTCAAAGAACTTGCTCGTGGTTTGTAAAGTCGCCTTGGGTCCTTTTAAGGAGACCAAGCAAACGACAGAAAAGTTTGTGAGGCAGGACTTATATGAGCAGAAGTCAGGATTCTTCTTCTTCAGCAACCGGTGCTCTTCCGCCCACACTTACCTCTAAGAACATCTCCCAAAGAGCTCCCTGGCTGTCTTTCTAAGTGGTACCGCATTGAGTACTTTGTGTTCTTCTAATATGGAGACTGATTTTGGGGACAAATTGTGTGCTTTTGTTAAATCAGCAGGTCTTGCAGTGACCCTGTCCTTACCCAATTACATGTTAATTTCAGTTTGTCAATAACTGCTAGAATTTCATTTCCTCTTACATCTCTTTGACTCCCTGCTTTGAGCTCTCTGCCCCAAGAATGCCAGATCAGACATAGGGACCTGTTCTGGATCTTACACAGAGGAGACCAAGAAATTAAGGCAGCTTCTCAACAATTCTCCAGCTTTCCTTTGACATTACAGTGGTGCCTTGCCTGACGACGATAATCTGTTCCGTTCAAATCGCTGTTAAGCAAAAATGTCATCAAGCGAAAGTAAAAAACCCATTGAAATGCACTGAAAACCGGTTCAATGTATTTCAATGGGCGAAATACCTGCTCGTTTTGCGAAGATCCTCCAAAAGGCGGCCATTTTCTGATGCCTGTATAGTGAGCAATCAGTCCTGAAAACAGCGGGGACCCATTTGGCACAGTGGGGAGCCATTTTGAGACCTGCCGATCAGCTATTTTAAAATCGTCGTAATGCGAGGAATCGATTCCCGAAGCAGGGAACCGATCGTGAAGCGGATTTTCCCCATTTAAACATCGTTTTGCGATCACAAAAAAGTCATCGTTAAGCGGATTCGTCGTGGAGTGGGGTAATCGTCAAGTTGGGCACCACTGTACTTGGCCCACTAGCAGCATCTCAGTCACCCAGCTTCAGATGCTTTTCTGTTTTATTATTGCTCTCAGCATAGATAGAATAATAAGACACACTGGAAGGGTTGCCCGTCCGCAGAACCAGTCCAGGCACAGGAACTCTGCTCCCTTTTTACCTCTGTTCACCTGTATTTCCACAAATTCTTATTTCTAAGAACATCAAACTAACACTCAGATTTTTTATGCGTTAAACTTTGTAGTAGAGATGAACAATTTGTATATGAATATCGCAGACCCACTCCAGCCAGGTGGCGGGATAACGGGTTTCCCTGCTTAGCAGCTGAGTGGCCAGAAGCCAGGAAAGTGGAGAAGTGCCAGATGGGCTACGTCTGAGGTTTCTGTGACAAGCAGGATGCTGGCCGCGTGCGCTATGCTGCAACCTGTAAGTGGATGGGTGGGTTCGGGGAGGCAGGACTGGACTTCCCTGCCACCCGGGTCCGGGATATTTGCAGTCATAAACGAATACAAATATCCCATCTCTAAATAGCAGCAATATGACCTGGAGCACAGAAGAGTTTCATGAAAATGAGGTGCTAGGTCATTACTGAGCTACGTAGTCCTCCAGGTCATGCAATGATCTGAGTTACGGAAACCAAATTAATCCAAATTAAAACGACACAATCTCCCACTCACGGTACTCACCGAACAGCTTCTGCCACATTGTTAGACGTGTGGCCCGACAAAGCATCGTGTAAGTTTCGGATAAAGTAATCTCTGTATTCTTCGGAAAGTGCCATGAATGTCCCACCCATCACAATGAATTCGACCTTGTCCACACTGTGACCCAGCTGCTTCAACTGGAAAAAAATAAATATAAGAAGATTGGCAAATGAGGAGGTTACATCTGCAACTTCCAAAACATGGGGGGAAAGCTGTGCCCACGGCCCTGCTGGAATCATGGAGCACAAACAAGAAGGGGAACAGCTCTCTGCCGTGCGTGCTCAGAGAGGCCGTGGTTGCAAGAAGGGAACGGTGCCTGGTCACGTGATCGGTCCCTGCATCCACACGTGAGACAGATAGAAAGCAAAATGCAAAACACTACTTGCACGGCTCTCTTTACACGTGTGACATTTCAGACTGGGATTTTGGACGAGAGGGCAGAAGGTGGTTTGTGAGAAGGGAAAAAAAGGAGATGAAGGGGGGGGAGGAAGAGGAGGAGAAAAGGGAGAAAACCCTTGAGGCTGACAGGGAGATCCAGCATGAATCTTGAAGTCAGGTGAGTCCCTTTGCACCCTTCACAAAGTGCAACCTCTCAGGGCCTCCACTTTATTAAAATAGGATTGTTTTAAATCAATGCAGTTTTGGAGAAGAGGACAAGAGAAGAAGGAGGAGGAGGGCAACCTCTCAGGGCCTCCACTTTAAAACAGGCTTGTTTTAAATCAATGCAGTTTTGGAGAAGAGGACAAGAGAAGGAGGAGGAGGAGGAGGAGGAATATGGCAAGAGGTCCCGTACATGGTGGTGGGGAACACAGTTATTGTATTTGAGTTTATATTTTATATGTATATGTTTTTGTTTATGTTATAGTTATAGAAAATTTAAAAATGAATAAATAAAACAGGCTTGTTAACATTTTTAATTTTCATTTGCGGTTCGATTTGAAGACTGGTGGTTTGTCTGTTCGTTTGTACATACATTCATCCACCCATCCATCTCTCTTTCTCCATCCACCCACCCACCCATCCATCCATCCAATCTGGATACAAAAGCCCCTCTGGGTGGTTCTTGAGTCTTCTGCTTGTTCTTCTGAACAGCCTTTCTGAGAGAAGCCTCAACATTATAGGAAAAAGAGCACCCCATGCCCCTCAGACCGGCACATGCATGTATCTTCATGAACAACAATTCTTCAGCTCCCCTGCCCTGAAGATTAAAATATTAAATAAAAAGTGGGGAAAAAACCCCACAAACCAAAACCTCCTTCCATCATGGTTCAATCCTCACCTGTTCCACCCGGTGTCTGGTCTGAAGAAAAGGATCGTATCTGGCGCGAATGGCCCTCATTGAAGTTGGCTACAGGAAGGAAGAAGAAATAAATATAAATAAATAAATAAGAAGGGATTTGGAGTAAAAGCTCTCTCTCTATTTACAAGAGGCTGGAAAAAAAATTCCTTTGTTTTTTAACTACAACTCCCAGAATCCTGCCTACTACAAACAAACAAGGCAGATGAAGGCTCTCAACAGTGTATGACCATCATGCTGTAAACTACCAAGGCTGGAAAATAACAACGGAAGAAGACTAGGTTACTTACAACAATCCAAACAGATTATAAATAAGAAAAAACATTTAAAACAAGAAGTATTAGGTAGTGAATTAATTTCTGCATAAAAGCCGGCCACATTTCCTGCCCCCCAGTTACCCACTTTTACAGACAGCATCCAAATAAGATTTGAGCGCCACTGTAACTAAGCCTCCAGTTATTTAGAGAACCTGCTTATAAAATGTTCATCGTTGTGCAGGCGTTTAGAAGAGGCGTTGTGCTTTGGAGCCAGTGGATAAATGGTCTTCCCCAATGAGGAGTCGAGAGACGTTTTAAGCAGTACCTCGTATCCGGTGTAAGACTGGGTTGAATACTCAAAGTCGGAATCAGGACCTCCTGGACAGTATCTGTGTTGCCAAGAGAGAGAGAAACAGAAAAGTCACAAAAAGCACGAAAGACGCCCAAAGAACCTCCTTCAGCTTGAGGGCCACGTTCAGTTTCGGAGCAGGTCCTGGCAGAGGCACTCCGCCAACAAGAAGGACCAAAGGCAAAAATCACCCTGTGTAGGTTTCAACAGAAAGCACTTCCTGCTGGAGGAAAGAGGAACCTTCTCATCTTTCAGAATGGAAGGGGGGGAAATCGTACCAAGGCTGGACGACCATCTGAGGAGGGTACCATGGGGGGCGAGAGGCATCACAGCCACAACCGCAATCTGGAAAAGGAAGCATTGCAGAGATGGGATCCCATGTCCCGGGCACCGAAAAACCACACAGAACCACAGTTTTTAGAGCAGCATAGGGCCCGTTCCGGCACCCCAAATGTTTTCTCCAGATGCTGAATCACGCCTGGACCCCCCAAGGTCTTCCCACTGCCTCTGGAATGAATGTCATCTGAGATTTTCCTAGGCCTATTTTAGAGGGACAGACAAAGGAAGGGACTTTCACCCTGTTCAGAAGGCCGACCGCTACGCGGTGTCCACCTGGCCTGAGTTTCTTAAAAGGAAAAAATGAATGAACGAAAAAAGAAAGAAAAACTACAGTGATTGATCTCTTTCAGCCTGGAAACTAGCTTATATTTACAACCTCCTCTCCAATCCCAGAAAGGGACGTGGTGGCGCTGTGGGCTAAACCGCAGAAGCCTATGCTGCAGGGTCAGAAGACCAAGCAGTCATAAGATCGAATCCACGCGACGGAGTGAGCGCCCGTCGCTTGTCCCAGCTCCAGCCAACCTAGCGATTTGAAAGCATGCAAATGCGAGTAAATTAATAGGGACCACTTCGGTGGGAAGGTCACGGCGTTCCGTGTCTAGTCGCACTGGCCATGTGACGGAAGATTGTCTTCGGACAAAAACGCTGGCTCTATGGCTTGGAAACGGGGATGAGCACCACCCCCTAGAGTCGAACACAACTGGACAAAAATTGTCAAGGGGAACCTTTACCTTTACCTCCAATCCCAGAGGAGCTAGGCAGGACAAGCTCTCCTTCACGGACAGCTATTTATCCGAGACAAACTCTCTCCATTTATTATTTATTTACTGCAAGTATTTTTCCTTCCCCCTTTCGCCTTAAAAGGTCAACCGTCATGGAGGCTGCGACCGCAACAGTATGGAACCTTCCTACAGTCAGAGAACGACGCTCGGCTTTGGGCACAAACTTCCATGCAGGTCCCTGCTCTGACCCGCAACTCAGCAAGGCTGCGGAGGGACTCCACACAGCTGGAGAGGCAAGACTTTACATCCAGGAAATACCCGGGAGCAGCACGGAGTTGGGCGGCAGACTTCCCGGTTTTACAATCCTGTTTCAGGAGGTGGAGGACCCTTGAACTCTGCAAGCATGTCGGTGCTATAGCACTGGAGGAAAGCGCCAAGGAATGAAAAAGCCAGTGGGGAAAGTTCAGTGAAAAAGGGAGCTTTCCAATTGTCACAAGCGTAAAGCAAGCCGCAACAGAAACGATGGTGCTGGTTGGGAAAGCATGTCAGTTGTCTTAGATATAGCACAGCGCCTGGAAAACCCAAAGTCCTCCGGGAAGCAGAAGAGAAGCAATTGTTGCTTCCATTATAAAGGCAATGTCACCTGCACAATTAAGAAGAGCACTTCTGCAGAAGAACAGAAGGCCTCTTTCACTGGAAGTTTTTTATCAGAGGTCAGCCTATCGGGGGGGGGGGGCTTTATTCATGGATGTCCTGCACTGTCTGGGAGCTGGATTCAGCTCTCTTCCAGCCCTTTAGTTCTATGGCTCAATGACGCTCATTGACACCAGCTCAGAACATGGATGGATTTAGCCCAGGACTGTCTCGTCCTTTTCCACAAGAAGCAGGAACCTGGGACTTGGAGGGAGGGAGGGAGGGAGGACCTACCCCACTTGCAGTACGGATGGGCTTTGCCTTCAGTTTGGGGACCAGGACTCGGCGATACTGGGGAGGCACTGCAGCAATGATGTCCACCAGGCGGGGCTGGGCAGAAAGCCCATATTTAGCAGCTGTTTTTGTCTTGAGCCTGAAACAGAAACCAGGGCCATTCAGCTGAAGCCTGTACAAGCAGGGGTGAGGAGCTGTGGCCTTCTCAACATTGCCGGACTCCAATTCCCATGGTCCCTTACCACCGGCCAAAAAAGCTTCGGCAGATGGGATCTCCAGTTCAACAGCATCCAGGGAACCCTAACCCCCAACCCAATTCAGTTATACGTTGTTGTTGTTTAGTCGTTCAGTCGTGTCCGACTCTTCTCCATGACCCCATGGACCAGAGCACGCCAGGCCCTCCTGTCTTCCACTGCCTCCCGGAGTTGGGTCAAATTCATGTTGTTCGCTTCGATGACCCGGTCCATCCATCGCATCCTCTGTAATCCCCTTCTCCTCTTGCCTTCACACTTTCCCAAGCAATACATATCCTTCCCGAATTGTGACCGGACTGGGCTAAGTTAAATGTAAGAACTCACAGACATTGGCAAGTTCCTACATTTAGACGCAAATTCATACAAACTGCAATATCTGCAGTTTCAAATGCCGCGCATCTGAGAGACATCCCAGACCAAGTATAACTGGGTTGGAAGGGGAGGAGTTGTCTCATCACTGGATGCCATCCGTTCAATGCTAATATTTCAACTGCAACTTGTTCACACTGACCAATGTATATTATTTCAGAAAGACACTCACTCTTTAATCTGTGCAGCTTTGCATACCGTATTTTTCCATGTATAAGACGTCCCATGTATAAGACTAACCCAAATTTTCTTTCTTTGCTAGACAGTGGAGGGGGAAAGCGATTCCTGCTTTTCCCCCTAAATTTTCATTGCAAAATCAGCTTTCCGCCTCCACATTTTGCAAAGAAAATGGAGGGGGAAAGCAGGAATCACTTTCTCTCTCCATTTTCTTTGCAAAACGTGGAGGGGGAAAGCAGGGATCAGAGCGCTTTGATGCCCCCCTTAGTTCTGAGTATAAAAGGACACTCAATTTTTCCTGTAATTATTTTAGGAAAAGTGTTGTTTTGTGCACGGAAAAATACGGTACTTCCCTGGAACTGCTTTTGCACTAAATCTCAGCCTTTGCTTCCTTCAAATACACCACTAGGCCTCGAGGCTGCATAAATGGATGATGTTATTGGAGGACGTGGGAGTTATGGGGGGACAGCCTTTGCTTCCTTCAAATACACCACTAACCCTCGAGGCTGCATAAATGTTATTGGAGGACGTGGGCGTTATGGGGGGAAAGTTCACATGCTCAGGCTTTATGTGGCAGGTTAGGCCATGGAGTTTGCTGAAAGATGGCATTCAGAGAAGGCAGGTCGCTATGTCTCATAACGTGACAAGCAGAATGTAACCAGGCTGGGCCCTGAAACCTCTCTTTCTAAGGCGAAGGAGCAACTGCTGTGTTTGAGGGCAGGGAGAAGTCCCAGTCTGAATGTAATCACTCCCATGTACGACATACAGTATTAATATGAAACCAGCAAGGCTTTGATTAAAAAGACAGAAATGTCTTTTTGTTCCACTGCCCCACGTGTTGGGAACTAGGAATGTGTCTACGCTGGTTTGTCGCCACTCCCACAAACCCACTGGCCGAGTCAACAGAAGATGCCTGAAAGACACCTCTGGAGTTTCCATCTTTGTAGTCTATTCTCCACCAATTAATTTAATTAAACTGTAAATTAAACTAGCTGGATAGCTCAGTGGTTTCGGAACCTGGCTGCAGAGCAGAGGTTGGGAGTTTAAATCCTTGCTGGGCTTCCTGGGAGAAGAGCCAGCCTGGGTGGCCTTGAGCAAGCTGCATAATAGTCCCAGGGCGCCCTCTGGAGGAAGGATATGGGAAACCACTTCTGCCAACTCTCCACCTAGGAAACCCTGAAAAGAGTGGCCCTAAGGGTTGTCAGAATTGATTTAACGACAGTGTTTTCTTTAACTGTAGATTAACGATGTGGGGTTTAATCAATGAATTGTGTTTGATACTCTCCACCTAGGAAACCCTGAAAAGGGTGGCCCTAAGGGTTGTCAGAATGGATTTAACGACATTATTTTCTTTAACTGTAGATTAACGATGTGGCGTTTAATCAATGAATTGTGCTTGAAGGGCTGAAATGCAAGCCAGAGATGAAATCTGCTGGCTTGACCAGGTTTCTCTGTCCTGGAGGGACACAGATTTATATTTCTGGACTGCAACCCCCAGACAATTCAGGGAGTTGTAATGCAAAAAAAAAAACCCCACAATTCTGCACACTTGTAGCATATGAACTCTTTGCCTGCGTGACTGGTTGTGTTTCTTCTTAAATAAAAGCAGATTCCTCACAGCCCAGAAAGACATACAGGTATATCACAAACCCAACAGTAGAGCTTATGATTAATATTGGTCCAGAAACCGCCATTTACATTGACAGAGTTAATGATCCATGCTCCCAAAACATCCACTGAAATCAGCGGAGGTAAATGCGCTCATATTTCATGCTTGCAGGTGTGGCTGTTATATGGGTGCCTGACACGACTTTCTAGAAATCCACGCCTCCTGTGATTGATACTAGAGGTCTTTTAAAGCAGACATCAGAGACGGAGGACACAGAGTGTAAACAGGACTGATGGAAGGTGGAGAAGTGTTGGAGATGACAGCTGACATCACTTACTTGTTTAAGTTCACATCTTTGCCCTGGTCATGTGCCTCGATCAGTTGTCTGATGACATCCGCTATGGTCATCATCATCAGCTCTGCTTTGCTCAGCTCTCCTGCAACACAAATAAAAGATGGACGGCAGTGGGTCTACAAAGTAATTACTCTCATTTATTTATTTATTTATTTGGATTTCTACCCCACCCATCTTGACCAAAGGTCTACTCTGGGCGGCATTACAAATTTAAAAACAGTTAAACCAATAAAAATACACTTTAAATCCAAAACGGTAAGATGTGAAATTTAAGATACAGGAGGAGGGAAAGCCTGCCCCAATAGCCAGGTTTTAAGTTTATTCCTGAAGACACCCAGAGAGGCAGCCAGGCGGATCTCCAGGCAGGTAAGTTGTTCCAGAGGCGAGGGGCCACTGCCGAGAAGGCCCGGTTCCTCGTTCTTTCCCTCCAGGCATTAGGCCCCTCAGCCACCGGGCCTGGCTGGAATGAGTGACTCTGGCAGAACTAGGTGGGAGAAGGCGCTCTGCCAGCTATCGAGGTCCTAAACTGTTTGGGGCTTTATATGTCATCGGAAGAACTTTGAAATCAAAGCAGAAATGGATGGGCAGCCAATGCAAGGTGGCCAGCGTGGCGGAAATACGGTGGTTCCTTTTCACCCCTGTGAGAAGTCTGTTCACCACATTTTGTACCATCTGAAGTTTCCGCGTCAATCTCAAAGGCAGCCCCACGTAGAGCGCATTGCAGTAGTCTAATCTTGAGACTACAAGCGCATGGACCAAAGTGGTGATCGCCCCCACATCAAGATAGGGACGCATCCTGCAAATAAACCATGCATTCTGAGCTCACAAGCTGCCGTGTAAAGGCACGATCATCTTCCTTTTCGCAAGAAAACCATCCGAACACGGCTTCTTTCTTACCCAGCCCTCCTGTATATGGCTTCCTCCTTGTTTGGGACATATGTCAAAAGGGAAAAATCCCCCCCCCCCTGCAGCCCACTTGGTTCAACCTCGCAAAAAGTGATCACCCCCTGGGGCCAAACAAACACCACAGTCTGACACCACAAAGAGGGAAGGACTCTGTCCAAGGGGGGGAAAACAAACTACCCTGCAAGGCAGCTGCCCCACCACCTCAATCTTCTCCTCCAACTCAGGCGAGAGGGGACTGAGCTTTGACGGGACTTCCTGGAGACCTTGTAGGGGAAATGGGACCTCCTGACAGCCAGCCTTTGCCCCGTGAGTAACAAGCAGAGATTAGAAAATGGAAGCCATGGTCTCAGGAGCAAGCAACATTTAGGATCAGATTCCTCAAGGCAGATATTTTTAAAAAGCCAACACAATCTTTCCTGTAATGAAATGTTTACATTTTATTAACAAAAGAAAATGCAAGAAGATACAGAAATCAAATCAGAAAAACAAACCAAGTTCAGTTTGGGAATAAGATGGACAGAGTAAGAAAGGCGACCGGACCAAGCGGCATACTCAAATAAGCCCAGAGCCCCCTCAGTAAGGAGCAGTCCAGTATCCAGAGCACGTCAAGAGTGCAAACTCCCCAGGCCACCCGAGAGAGTCACACACTGCATTCTGAATGGGGGGGAGCCCCCCCCCGAGGGGTCTCCCACGCTCTGAAAGCCTGGCGATGGGGAGAGAGAACTCCTCCACTGATCGATCAGAGTCTCCGTCCGGCCCTCCTGAACAGGCAGGGAGGAGACCGCTCCCCTCAGCCCTAACTGCTTGTGCTATGGCACATCTCAGGAGAAGAGTCCTGCCATCTCTTTTGAGTTCATCATTTCCAGAGGAACGTTTGCTCGGCTGGGCTTGAGTGGCTTTATGTTTGCAAACCAGCCTGAGTGGTGGCGTGCCACGTGGTGGGCACAGATGCTCACAAAGCCCCTCAGGATGGCAAGGGCTGCAGGACCACAGAGGTCGGGGGGGCGCTCTCTGTGACCAGGGGGGAGACCTCCCGCCACCGGGCACCCTTGCAGTCTTCAGAGCTGGGTGTCTGAACCCCCCGACGGATGATGGCAGGGGGGGTCCTCTTGTCCTTCTTCACCAGCCTGAGGTCAGGGCGTCTGGCGCTATGGCTGGGACACCACAGAGCAAAGGGGGGGGGTCTCCCCAACCTTGGGCCTCCAGATGTTCTTGGACTACAACTCCCAGAAATCCTGGCCAGCAGAGGTGGGAGTTGTAGTCCAAGAACATCTGGAGGCCCGAGGTCGGAACAGCAGCAGAGATTCCTGTGGTGGTCGTTGTTGCAGGTTGTCAAGTCGCCTTTGACTTATGGAGACCAATTCTCCCACGCGCCCACCCGCAGGCAGGACAAGGAAGGGGGAAGGGGGAAGGGGGGAGAGGGAAAGAGGCGGGAGTGAGGGGACGATGGGAGTTGTAGTCCAAGCCCTGAGAGGAGGGCCACGTGACGGGAGGCCGCCTCCTCCGCCTCACCTTTCTTCTTCGGCCTCATGGCGACGGTGCCTCCTTCCCGGACACCCGCCCCCCGACACGACCCCGTTTCTGCCTTGCTCCCTCCTTCCCTCCCTTCTCCGGGGACCCTCAGGGAAAAACACGCCGCCGTCGCGAAACGGGAAGAGCGGAAGCCGGGCAGGCGCTGGCGACACCGCGGCCGTAAAGCGCGCCGCGCGCAGGGATTGGCGGGAGAGCCTCTTGCCCCGCCCACTCAACCACCCACCCACCCCTTCCGGGCCGGACGTCGCCTGGTTGCTAGGATACAGGCCTCCCGCCCATAGAGTTTTGCGGGGTAGCCCATCGACCCGTCTTTCCGGGACAGGCGCCACCTGGCGGGCGTCCCGAAGTGGCGCCTCTCTCAACTCCGCCGTGTGACGCAGAAGCAGGAACGCCTTGACCTTGCTTTTGAGATGATCACACAACACACACACAACACACAACATACACACACAGACAAGAGCTGAAAACGTTGTGGCCGGCTAAAGACAGTCATGTTTTCGTGTCAGCTTTCATGGATCAAGCCCACCTCTTCAGACTCGCTCTGCCAAAGCTCCCCCATCAACACTTGTGGTTGTGGTTGTGGTTGTGGTTGTGATGTGCCACCCAGTTGCCTGCAGGCTTATGGCCGCCCTATGAACGAGGGATCGCCAAAATCTCCTCGACAGCCCTGCTCAGCTCTTGTTAAACTCAAGCCTGTGGCTTCTTTTAGGAAGTCAGTCCATCTTGTGTTATTGGGTCCTCCTCTTCTCCTGCTGCCTTCCGCTTTGCCCAGCCTTGCTGTCTTTTCCAGAGAAGAATCCTGCCTTCTCATAAGCAGGACAGCCTAAGTTTCAACATGTTTGCCTAGAGATCTAGTTCAGACTTGACTCGATCTAGGATCCCCTCCGTTGTCTTTCCCGCAGCCCAGGATATCCACAAAGCTCCCCTTCCGCACCACATTTCAGACGCATCTACTCCCCCCCCCCAATGTCAGCAGCTTTCTTTGCTGTCCAGCTTTACTGTCTCCGCATACAGTACATACAACGGGGAGGATGATCTTGGTCTCTCGTGACGCCACATCCTTGCACTGGAGGAACCTGTTCTAATTCTTTTCCAAACAAACCAGTCCACCACAAGGTTCCTTTCTCCTGTTCGTTTTGCTTTTGGCGTCCGATACGCTTGCACCACCCCCACCCCCGGACTCACGCGGCGGCCTCTTCAAGAACCCTCGGGAGGAAGGAGTTTATCCCCCAATAAATACATGCCTATTTGCTATGGGCAGGGAGATCTGGGCCAAGCAAGAAGAGAAAGGAGATGGCCCTGAGCAGCTGCCTTAAAAATGAGGATTTGCAGCATGCGCGGAAACCTTAAATTTGGCTTTTGGGAAAGACATGGCTTGGCCCTTGGCCTCCTGAGCAGGGCCGGCCCCACCGTTAGGTGAGACCGGGGGGGGGACGGGGATGGGAGGGTGACACGAAAGGGCTCCAAATGGTTCATTAAGTTCTAGGTTGGTTTACTGCTAGGAATAAAGAGAGGAACTTGTGGGATTTTCTCACTCCAAAGCTTCCTGCTCGGGCAGGCATGTGGATCTGATGACCTTCGGGCTTCCTTCCTTCTGGACTGTCAAATTTTATGATTTCACGGGCCAAAGCTATTTGGGCCTGGGTTTGGGCACTATACTTTAATTTGGGTTCCTAGCATCGGGAAACCATTTGCTGCTCTGAATACTTACATAAAAGCTTTTGGTTTGTTTTCTTTGCGGTCTGAAGGTAGAGCGTATACAGTGATGCCTCGCTTGACGACGATAATCTGTTCCGTTCAAATCGCTGTTAAGTTAAATCGTCATCAAGCGAAAGTTTAAAAAAACGTTGAAATACATTGAAAACTGGTCAATGCATTCCAATGGGCAAAATACCTCATCATGCAGCGAAGATCCTCCATAAGGCGGCCATTTTCCGATGCCTGTAAAGCGAAAAATCCATCCTGAACACAGTGGAGAGCCATTTTGCACAGAAGGGAGCCATTTTGAAACCCTGACGATCAGCTGTTTTTGATTGTCGTTAAGCGAAAAATCGGTTCCCGAAGCAGGGAACCGATCGTCGTCAAGCGGATTTTCCCCATTTAAACATTGTTTAAACTCATCATAAAGCGGATTTGTTGTAATCGTCAAGTGGAGCACCACTGTACTTGAGTCATGCCTCTTCAGGAAGTATGATTGAGTTAATTGACCAGATTTGCCTTGCAGCCCCTAACTGCCTGTGCTATGGCATGTCTCAGGAGAAGAGTCATGCCATTTCTTCTGAGTTAATAGAAGTGGTCGACCAGTCTGAAGCTAAGATGTAGATCTCACAAGAAAAAGATGAACTGAAAAATCAATTCAATCAATCAATCAATCAAATAAATAAATATATAAACAAACAAACAAACAAATAAATAAATGAAATTCCAGAGGAATGTTTGCTCAGCTGGGCTTGAGTGGTTTTATGTTTGTAAACCAGCCAGAGTGATGGTGTGCCACATGGTGGGCAGTATATACCGTATATCACAGATGTGAGGACACCCCTTCATATTTCATAAATATCTTTGTCTGTCTTTTCATGGGACAACACTGAAGAAATGACATTTGGCTACGATGTAAAGCAGTGATTATACAGCTTGTATAACAGCTGTATAAATGTGCTGTCCCCTCAAAATAACGCAACACACAGCCATTATTGTCTAAACCGCTGGCAACAAAAGTGAGGACACCCCTAAGTGACCAGGTCCAAATTGGGCCCAAGTGTCACAAGTCTCAGGTGTGAAGGGGGAGCAGGTGTTCTCACTCTCACTCTCTCCGACTGGTCACTGGAAGTTCCACGTTGGCACCTCATGGTCATGAACGATCTTCTGAGGATCTGAAAAATCATGGCCTAGGCTATCAGAAGGTGGCCAAAATCCTGAAACTGAGCTGCAGCACGGTGGCCAAGACCATCCAGCGGCTGAACAGGGCAGGTTCCACTCAGAACAGGCCTGGCCATGGTCGACCAGAGAAGTTGAGTCTCCGTGCTCAGCGTCCTGTGCAGTGGTTGGCTTTGGGAAAGCGACAACTCAGAACAGGCCTGGCCATGGTCAACCAGAGAAGTTGAGTGCCTGTGCTCAGCGTCCTGTCCAGTGGGAAAGCGACGTACGAGTGCTGCCAGTACTGCTGCAGAGGTTGAAGGGGGGGGGTCAGCCTGTCAGTACTCAGACCATACACCGCACACGGCATCAAACTGCTCTCCAGGGCTGTCGTCCCAGAAGGAAGCCTCTTCTGAAGATGATGCACAAGAAAGCCCACGTATGGTTTGCTGCAGACAAGCAGACTAAAGACATGGATTTCTGGAACTTGTCCTGTGGTCCGATCAGACCAAGATAAACTTACTTGGTTCAGATGGTGTCAAGCGTGTGCGGTGGCCACCGGGTGAGGAGTCCAAAGACAAGTGTGTCGTGCCTATAGTCATGCCTGTGCTGCAGACAAGCAGACTAAAGACATGGATTTCTGGAACTTGTCCTGTGGTCCGATCAGACCAAGATAAACTTACTTGGTTCAGATGGTGTCAAGCGTGTGCGGTGGCCACCGGGTGAGGAGTCCAAAGACAAGTGTGTCGTGCCTATAGTCACGCCTGGTGGTGGTGGGAGCTGCAGGAGTGCTGCCGGCACTGGGGAGCTACAGTTCCTTGAGGGAACCATGAATGCCAACACGTCCCGTGACCTCCTGAAGCAGAGCATGATCTGCAGGGCAGTATTCCACCATGATAACGACCCCAAACACACCACTGTCTTGCTAAAGAAGCTGAGGGTAAAGGCGATGGGCTGGCCAAGCAGGTCTCCAGACCGAAACCCTACTGAGCATCTGTGGGGTATCCTGAAACGGAAGGTGGGGGTGTGCAAGGTCTCTAACATCCACCAGCTCTGTGATGTCGTCATGGAAGAGAACTGCAGGGGCAACCTATGAACTCTATGCCCAAGAGGGTGAAGGCAGGGCTGGAAAATACTGTAAGGGTGGCCCCACAAAATATTGACTCTTTTTGCTCAATTTGGACCTGGTCACTTAGGGGTGTCCTCACTTTTGTTGCCAGCGGTTTAGACAGTAATGGCCGTGTGTGGTGTTATTTTGAGGGGACAGCTCTCAAAATCATAACACGAATATGCCAACAAATATAGGAAACAAAACAATGGCTCACAGACTGGAAACCTTCAATATACGTTCCAATTTCCAAGAAAGGGGATGCCAAGGAGTGCAGTATCGATAGGATCATTACTGTAATCTCACATTGAAGCAATGTGATGCTCAGGGTGTTGCAACGAAGGCGTTTACTTTATATGGAGTGAGAAATGCCTGATGATCAAGCTGGATTCAGAAAATGAAGAGGCACTTGAGATCAGATTGCAAATATCTGCTGGCTACTGGAGCACACTAACGGACTTCAGAAAAAGATCAGTCTTTGACTACATGGATTATGAGAAACAATGGGTTGTTATGAAAGAAATGGATGTCCCTCAACACTTGATCGTTCTGATGCATAACTTGCATTGTGGACAAGTTACTGTTAGGACAGAATATGGAGAGACAAAATGGTTTTCTGGAGGCAAAGATATCAGACAAAGGTGCCTTTTATCAACTTAATGGTTCAATCTATACGCAAAACATATCCTATGGAAAGCTGAATTAGATTCAGATGAAGGAGGAGTGGAAATTGGTGGGAGAACTATCATTAATGTAAGATATGCAGAGGACCCCCAGCTTACTGGTAGAAAGCAGCAATGAATTTAAATGACTGTATTCGCGAAGGCTTTCACGGCTGGGATTTAATGGTTGTTGTGGGTTTTTCAGGCTCTTTGGCCGTGTTCTGAAGGTTGTTCTTCCTAACATTTCGCCAGTCTATATACTGGCACTCCCAAACCAACTACACCAGAGCAGAGTGCTGTCCTCGGAAGATGCCCATGGCCACAGAGACTGGCGAAACGTTAGGAAGAACAACCTTCGGAACATGACCAAAGAACCTGAAAAACCCACCACAACCAATTTAAATGACTTTTAGCGAAAGTGAAAGAAGAAAAAGCCAAAGCAGGACTAAATGTTGAAACTGAGACCGTCCTGCTTTGGGCACCTCACGAGAAGGCAGGATTCACAAGGACACAGGCTTGAGTTTG